TGCAGGCCAAGGGATGCACTGGCCTGCTTTCTCTACACATGCCAAGGAAAGATGGGGCCTGTCATACAGATTCTGCAAACAGGTGGCGTGGGTTCAAACATACATGCACTCACACAGACATGAACATACATATAAGCACACACATAGACATGCACACCCCCTCAGTCAGCAAATACTCCAAACACAATACTTGCAGAGGAGATGGGCATCTCACATGGCATGCTCACACAGACACACACCAAATACTTAGGAAGTGCACGATGCATGCAACATGCCTGCACACAGATGTGTGCCACGCAAGTTCAACACACAGGAAGGGCACATTCCCTGCAAAATGTTCACCCACAAGCAGAGACGAATGCACATAGAACACGCAAAAGAGTTATAGTCCCTATGGCACACTTATACCTATACCCACACAATGCATGGGATGTGAGTCCCCCCACACACAGTACCCAGGCTGCTGGGCCCAGGGGCAGATGACTGTTTTCCGGGGCCCCGGGCAGCATAACTCCGCGGGGCCCCCCTTTGCCACGGCGCATGCACGGGGCTTTTTTAAGCGCGGGGCCCGGGGCGGCTGCCCCGTTCGCCCTGCCCTATATCCGCCCCTGGCTGGGCCCATACTCTTGCCTGTGCAAACACAAGTGGTTCCCTTATAACATAATGCTCCCCAACAGTGCCACCTGCCTCCCTACCCAGTAAGGGTCCCTACCCAGTAAGGGGCAGAGGCTGCACCCAAGATCCTACTCCTCTCTTTGGGAATTTCCCTGTTCTGAGAAGACATGTCATCAAGTCACCATGCTGCTAAATCTTATCTCCCTGTTACAGACACCTATGTATCCCCAACACTGCAGCACACAGCACCAGGGTGTCAGGACACACACACACACACACACACACACACACACCCCCCCCATTTTTAACCACAAACACACACACACACACACACCATTTGTAACCTCTCCAAAGACATGCATGCACATACTCAGCTGCATCCCTACACAACCCCGGGGAGAGAGACAGCCACACACATACACACACACGCACGGCCAGTCACTCTCACCCTATTAGGCCACCAACGGACAAAATGGTGGTAGGATACAAGGGCAGACTGACACACAAACGCCCACACACACAGACTCCACACAGGCACTGTACAATAACACAGCAGCAGAACAGAAGCAGGGAGGGGGAGATAAAAGCAGGGACACAAGCTCGCACAAACAGTTTGTCCGATTCTCCCCTCCCCCCCCACACGCTGCAGCAGCCAGGCCCCACTAGAGATTCACAATGTCCCCCTGCTCATGACACTGGCACAAAGACATACCAGGGAAGCAGCCCCCAGAGTGTTCAACGCCCACCCTGAAACACAACCTGCTCAACCAATCACCAATGCCCACACTCCTCCTAGAGCTGGGACTAGAACCCAGGAGTCCTGGCTTCCACCCCCCCTGCTCTACCCTGGGTCTGGCAATAGAGTGGGAGAGTCTTGAGGAGGTCATGCTGGAATAGGGAACACACGCCGCATGGTTGGATGTGGGGTGCACTGGAGCAGGGTCCTGCAACATGGACCACAGAGAGTATGTCTGCATATGGCTTCCTGGGGACAAGCCTCACACAGTGAATGGGGGGAGGGGACGGGAAAATACAGGAAAAAGGCTTCCCCTTCCAGGTCCTCTGCCCCCTCCCAACCCCCCCCCC